ATAACCATTAGCTCAAATCCAAGGAAAACAGATCATCAATCAGAAATAACTTCAACGTAGGTGGCCTCAGAAGAAGCAGAGTCGAGTTTTAGTTGAAATAGATTGAAATTGAAATTGATGCCAGAATGACCAAAAGATGTCGCATTGTTTTTACATACACTCATTGAAGCAGGACGAATTCAAGTCCTGGCGGCACTGCAACAAAGTGAAAGTGTTCGATTTCGCCAAGAGAGAGAGAGAAGAAAGAGAAGAAAACAACCAAAAGCGAGCAGCTCGTTAAAATATTAATGAGCAATTGAGCGTTGCCGACAAAGGCGGCAAGGAGGAGAAAAAAACCACTTGAGGGATTTTACAACAAGGAGAAAGTCACTGCGACAGTTTACAACACTAATTAACAAGCGAAATTTAAGTTTTTTTGTTGGGTTTGTTGTTGTTTATATTTACAAGTGCGCCAAGTGGCACTTTTGAATATATCGAGTCGAGGATCGAGCAAGCAAACCAAAATAAATTAGGCGGCTGCTTTTGTTTTCACAACTTGTGTTTTTTTTGCAGTTGTTGTTCGATGGTTGACATTTTGGTGACATACGCGACTGCCACCGCTGTGAAAGAGGCACACACACACATATATAGTCAAGCCAACAAATCTGTGGCGCATCCTGGGCTGAAAAGGAAGCTGCTAAAGCGCGAAACAACAGAGTTGGTAGGTGGAAGGGGAGCTGAACACACACGATACGATGCTTTGCCATTTGACAATTGGTTTGGTGCCTTGGTGAAAGTGTCACATTGACAGCCGCCTGACATGCCCACTTTACAACACTGCTGCCTCTTCGCTGCTCTACCCCCTCCTCAACTCCACAAGTGTCACCTAAACAGAGGGCAGTCCTTATAGTATTCATAGTCTATCTGAACATTTGCAGTTGAATGATCTATATAGAATTTAACAGAAGTGAAGCGGAGCATTTGGGTTGCTTATATTGAAGATGGAGGATCTGTGTTGAGAGAAAGTTGGAAAGTATTTTATTTTATTATATATTATTAAAAACAACTTCAATTGAACTATATTTATATCTTTTTTGGCTCAAATTATGCCACAGAATACTTTGCTATTGTAATTTATTTTCTGCTTAAAATAATGCTGTTTATCTTAATATATACATTATAATGTGAAAGTGTAAAATTCTTTAAGGAGGAGCCATAGACTTGTATATATATGTCTCAATTGCTCGATCAATGTAAAAAATAATAAATTATATATTAAATTAAAAATTGTATTAACAAATTTTACATTATTCATACATATATTTTCAGCCCAAGTGGAATTTCATATATTCTATATATACTAGATATTATCTGGTATATGAACTGCCATTATTTCATTTAATAGAATACCTAGGACGATTTACACCATAACTGATCAATAATTGTTTTCTGTACTGATTCTAATATAATAAATAAATAAAATAAAATAAATACTGGTTCTGCATTTAAATACAAAACATCATTAAAATTATCCAGCAGAATAAGTAATAAGAAATAATTTTGATCAGTTATTGACTGATATACAATTTTGTTCATACTTTCCTCACATTCCATGCCAAATAGTTTTTTATGATTTTTCCCAGAGATGGCAGTGGCAACCCTCGTTTTCGAGTACCGAATGTTAAATCTCTCGTGAGTATTTTGTTAGCGCATAAAAGTGTCAAATTACAAAAATCACACGACAAAAAGGAGGCAAGCAAAACAAGACAAGGTCTAGGTTCAAGAGGCAGGGAGGGGGCAGGGAAGCCAAGCGGGATTAGTGAGCATGTTAGATGGAGACTGTTGCCACAGCTTGGCCTGCTAATTGGCTGCCTCCAGACAGCAACTAATGAACTCTGACAAACTGATGCAGTGGCAAATTGTCAACTGTAAAAATCATTTTTTTGTTTTTTGACTGCATTTTCTTTAGATCGATGCGGATATTTTTGTGCGGCACCTCAAGTTGGGGGGTTAATTGGCAATGACAAAGGTCTCGACTTGTTCTTTCGACATGCATTTTACTTGCCAATTTGCTGACATTGTTTTAATTACTACAACAACAACTACAACATGAAAAAGGAAAATGAAAATAAGCGTTGCGTAATTATACAAAATGACAGAGTTTGCAAGTGCAGAGAGTTAGGAAAGAGGCGGGGAGTGGGGAAGGGGGGAAGGGGAGTTACCCTATCTGTATTTGCATGTGAGACACATGTCCGGTTCAGTTATGTTTTTTTTGTGTTTCCTTTTAATTTTTGGTGGTTGCTTTTGTCAGCCATATTTGGAGCGAGGCACACTCCACACTCAGGCATTATTTGTTGTGCAATAAGTGAAAACCAAAAAAAAAAATAACAAAAAACACAGCAATCGCAATGCTAATGTGCCGCAATCAGCATTTAAACGCTAAACTTGTAATTAGAGGTGAAGTTACAAGTGTTACACATATAGTATATATCTATATATATATATATATATATGTATACACAATATACACACATAAAAAAGAAACCAGAAAGAGGATATTCAAATTCAAACGTGCAAACGGCAAAGTGAAACGAGAAATTTCCATCGAAATTGCAAATGGTTGGATTTTTTTTTGTTTTTTTCAATGTTTTCGTGTGCAGAGTGTAATCAAGTTTATAACATGTAATGCACAAATTCAAATGCATATTTCAATGATAGGCACGTATTCCAAACTATTTCCGACTACCTGAATGCAACATTACATTTATAATAAAAATAACAGCTTGAAAACTTATCCAAGATTGACTGACTAATTCCACTTAAAACAAGATACGGCTTCAAATATAACACATGAATTTGGAGTCAACAAAAAAAATATATATTTATTATAATTTCGAAGAACTGGTTATGCAAAATCGGGTCACTCTCGAGAAAGTTATAACTTCCGAAGGTTTTTCACTTGTACCCAAAAAAGCACATTTCGAGACTCTAATTTTAATATGAATTCCGTATTATTTTAGAGGTCAAAAAGTAATTTTCTTTGAAAAAAGTTGCAATTTGTACAAACTGATGACAATGGAAATTTAGACCAAAATATTTTGTTTTTTTTTTGGCATAGTATTCTTATAGGAATTTAGAAAGATAAGGTCAAACCATAATAATACAAAAAATCACAAAATGTGAAAACTATTTCAAATTGGAGTCTAGATGCAAATTTTTTGGAATTTCAAACGAAGATCGACCTTTACAAATTTGCTAAATTACTTTCGAAACCATTTTCAAACTATATTTTAATAATTTAATATAATATTCTTTTATATAATTTTCATTTTCTGTTTTATTTAAATTAATATCAAAATAAATACTTTAAATGTTGTTTTGCAGCATTTTTAATACATTTTTGAGTACACAGAAAAATTAATTAAATTCTTAGCTCAAAAGGCACGTAAAAATGTTGAATCATTAAATTTGAATGTTTAACTTGTGAACATGTGTTTTCTGAACTTTAGTCCCTGTTAAGTGTGTCTGTGTGTGTGTGTGTGTGTGTACGTGAGAGCCTCAAATAACGGGAACACGTAGACGGAGAGGTGTGAATTAAAATTGATAAAAAAAATATATATTACATAAGTTGTTTAAAAAAACGCCACTAAAAACAAAACGCTTGCAACAAGTGGCAGCTTTCAACCTTGAAAAAAAGGTCCTCGAGCAGGAGACAAAAAAGGCAACAAGCGGCAAGGGGAATTGCAACTGTTGCTAATTAACAGACGGGCGGACAGTCAGAAGTGGGGAGTGGGGGACAAAGTCATCAAAAAAATAAAAGCGAGTAGAAAAAACAAGACGGGAATAAATCAACAAAAATATGCAGCAGCAAAAAGAACTCAAACTGAAAAGTCACTCAAACGTTGGCATAGCGGAACGTGTTGGAATCAAAGTGAAACGAAAGGCCCAACAAAAACAAGAACAACAACAATAACGGACAGCAGCCAGCAGCCAGCAGCAGCAGCAGCAGCGACAACAGCCCGGGCAGAGAGATAACAAGAGACGACAACGGCGAAAAGTTGTCTAAAAAGCAACAGCAACAATAACAACAACAACAACAAAGGGCAACATGAAAAACCGCAAGCAAAACGTTTGCACATCATAAATGGCCCAATGCGCAATGTGCTAGAGCGAGAGCGAGCGCAAAAGCGCCGACATTTTTAATTGTAAATGAGTTATGACGACTACGACAACGACGACGTCGCGTCGTGTCTCTCTCTCTGCTGCTCATCGCTGCGGCGGCGGCGGCGGCCGCTGCTCTGAGTGGCCGTCAACACTCCCACTCCCACTCAGTACGAGAAGGCAGGCAGGCAGGCAAGCAGGGCAGAAGCGCATGCGTGCGAGTGCAATGACAGTCGCATGTCTGCTTAATGGCTGTCACGCTCTTGCGCACACGCACACACAACCCCAGCTATGTAACTCTCTCTGTTTGTGCTTCCAGCTGAATTCGCTGCAAGTGCTGCGCAACTGCTCATGCTTGTGTGTCGGCCAATGTCAAGTTGCTAACGCTGGCTCGCTTGCACTTGATTGCGTTCAAATTGGGAAAACTGGTTTCCCGCTGCCATTCGTTGCTGCTGCCGTCGCTGCCAGTCTCTTTGCGTGTGTGTGTGTGTGTGTCGTCTAAGCCAGAAGACGTTCGTTCGTTCGTTCCCTCAACGATATTTCCAACACACAGAGAATTCAGTTCGTCGTCGCCTGTCTTGCGTTGCGCACACACTCAATTCGCGTTGCGCTCAAATGCATTTTTTCGCGTCAACTTAACAATTACCGTTCGACTGTTTCTCTCTCCGCCTGTGTGTGTGTGTGTGTGTGTGTGTGTGCGTGTATATATATATATATATATATATATATATATGTATATTTATATGTGTGCATTTACAGTTAAATCAAAAATGCAGCAGCAGCACAATTTCTAAGTGCTCCTAAAGAAGTGCTAACAATTAAAACACAAAAAACAAAACAAAAAAAAGATACAATTTTGAAAAACTCTCTTTTGCTCTGACAAGTAGAAAAGAAAAAGTAAAGAAGATATACTCAAAATGCTGGTCGGTTCGCATCCGTATTTATGCAATGGCGTCTCAGCCGTTGCGCCACCCAACAACAACAGCAACGCTGCAGCAACAGCAGCAGCAGCAGCAGGAGCAGCAGCAACAGCACAAACAACAACCACAACACAAACAACAACAGCCAATAGCAAAAGTGCCGCCGGCTCCGCAACGGATTTCTCCATAGCGGCAATCATGGCACGCGAGGATGCCTCCAGTCGCGAGTCCTCCATTCGCAGCGCAAGTGAGTACAAATCACCAAGAAGCAGAAGAAGAAGAGAGGAAAGTAGTGTGCAGAAAAGGGGAGTGCGGGTTGTAGGGGGTATTTCACTTGACAGATTTAAAAAACAGTTAAAGCTCTCGAAGCCAAACACTTTGTTGCCGCATATTAAAAAGTTCTGCGAACTTAAATGAATTCCATTAATCTTAATATTTATTCAAACACCAATCAATTTACTAGCTAAAAAAAAAGCTTGAAAAACTCCAATATATTAGCTTTTGTGCATGAACTTAGAAGTTTTCATCTTAAATTTATATACTTGCGTATTAAAAACTTTAATTTTCACTCAGTTTACACTTTACGCATCAAAAATTCTACTTCAGCCTCAGCTTAATAATTATTAATTAATTAAAAGCAATTTCATTGATTTTTTTTAAACAAATTTCGATTACGAATGATTGAATATTCACTTAAAACAGTTGCTATGCATTTAAAGCTTCTTTATTTATAGTTATACAGATTTAAAACTGCATTCATTGTAGATATATAAAAAAGACTTCAACTTGACAAAACCAGTTTCAAATAAAAATCCCAAGAATTTATCTTACTTAAGTTAAGTAAAGTATTTTTAGAGTACTCTAAGCTTTCTAAATTCAATAAAGTTCTTATGCATTTTCTCTTTAAATAAAGCATTAATTGAATTAGGAAACTTTCACTTAATAATGTCTCATTTTGCCAAAGTTTTATGCAATATGTTGATACTTAGTTAAAGCTTAAATCTAAATTGATTAGCTTTTAGTTAATAGTTAGTTAATAGTTAGACAAAAAAGTGCTAGTTATTTACTAAAAACAGTAACTGGTTTCCTCAAGCAGAAATCAATTTGACATTCGAATCAATTAGGCCAACAAATAATGGCCAAAGTTGAAATGTGCTTTTAAAATGTGCATTGAAGTGCAGTTTAATGGGTCATTTAGATTAAAAGCCGTCGGCTTTAAAGATTTGCAAGTGTTCGAGTATTAATTAACTGTGAAGTAATTACACTCTTAACTGTGAATTTGTAATCGCTTTTAACTTCCACAAACACAGTCTAATTGTTGGACAATTTGCGCAAACTTGTTGAAAATAATCATTAAAAAAAAAAAACAGTACAAAATAAAAACAAGATTTTATTAATTGTTATTGACAATTAAAAGTCAAGCGAAAAAAAAGAAAACTTGTTTCTAGAGCAGCAGCCGACGGCAAATGCAATTAAAGTGTCCAGTGAGAGGGGAGAGGAGGGGAAGCGGTGCTAATCATCAGTCAGAGATCGTCAAAAGGCAGTTAAAACACTTTGTACTAGATTTCGGCTTTCAAAATAAATTATTTTAAATCTGAATATTAATTTTTTATTATTGGCTTCAAGCAAAAAACACACAAAAGACAACAAATTTATGTTAATTGGCTTGGCAAAAAAAAAAAACAACACAGAAAAAAATCAGAGATTGTTATTAATTTTTACGAGGAGCAAAAATTAGCGACGGCAAAGCAGAACATTTTTTTTTATTATTATTATTAAACTTTTATGCATAAATGAATAAAGCAAAAGCAACAATAATCAAACTCAATACAAAAATATTATTTGTGTTTGCTGAGTTTGCATTTTGACACCCAACAAAACAGCTGGAGAAGAGCTAGGGAGGAGGATGGGGCGGGTGGGGAGGGGAGGGGGTAGCTCTTTTAATAAAGACATGAGCTTATGCATTTTAAGCAGGCAAATGAACTATAAACAAATTCAATTATTGTTATTTGTGTTTTATACTTTTTACCTTGAGACGCAAAAAATTGCAACTGCTGCAAGAAAAATAAATAAATACGCAACAACAAAAAAAAAAGGAAAAAAAAAATGCAGCCCAATTTTTGTTAACTTGTTTGTCGAAGCGGAAATCGTTGACGACGAACTGTCTGCAGCAATCAAAGAGGGAGACAGCAACCGGGAGAGACAGAGAGAGAGAGAGGGAGAGTGAAGCTAATTGAAAGTCAGCAGCAACATTGTTGCTAGCCAGCAGTAGCAACAACAGCAGCAGCAACAACTGCAATTAGCAACATGTTGCCTCCAATTCAATTTGCGGCAAATGTGATTTTAATCGTCAAACATTTCTTTGCCTTTTCTTTCATTTCCCAGGTCCCATTTCGATTGAGGATGAGGTCGATGTGGATGTTGTCGACTGCAGCGATGCTGAGGAGCCGCCAACGAAGGCGCGTCGCTTGAACCACCACCACCATCATCATCATCATCATCATCACAGTCACAGCAACAACAACAATAATAACAATAATATCAGCAACCATAACAACAACAACAACAATAACAATCACAGTGTGTCACACATCAAGAGTCGCAATAATAATAACAATAATAATAATAATAATGAATCACAGCTGAACACAAGTTCAACTAGCAGCCAAGGACGCTGCTCGACGCCGCCACAATCGCCCGGAACGGAGGACAGTGAGGAGCGTTTGACACCCGAACCGGTGCAGAAGGCACCCAAAATTGTCGGCTCGTGTAATTGTGATGATCTGAAGCCGGTGCAATGCCATTTGGAGACCAAAGAGCTGTGGGATCGCTTTCACGAACTGGGCACCGAAATGATCATCACCAAAACGGGAAGGTAAGCAACAAAAGCAACAAAAAATATATATATATATATCTATAGAAAAACCCCTCTAAAAAAGAGTACAGTACTTGAATTAATCATTGGCTTTCCAGTTAACTAAACATACAAATGGTTAAGCGCTGTTCAGTTGACAGATGAAAGTTAGCTCAGCTTGTAATTGATTTCCTTTTGCAATTGAATTAGATGGATGAATTAGTTGAGTGAAAGGCTGCTTTTAAATGCAACATTTTGTGGCAGCTCGTGCATTTTTTTTAATCGACTCTTAAATCGATTATCAATCTTTATTGGAGACAACAAATTAAAAGCTACATTTAAGATACCAGAAAGCCTAATAACAATATTATATTATTATTGTTTTAGATTCATTGGCAATCTATGAAGAACGAAAATTAATTTTTTTTAATGAAAATTAACATTTTTAACAACATTTTCCATTTTGAAAATAATGTACAAAATATATTTTAATAGCATCAATATTCAAAATGCAAAAAACAAAATATATTAATCTGTGTGCACAAAAAAAGGGATAATAACTAATAATTATAATACATAGCAATTTCAAGCATATTATTAAAATTTTCCTACATTATTTTGACATTTTTCAAGTTTTAACTAAACTTTCAAATACATTTGCAATACTATAATCAAAAACATTTCAAAAAACAAACATTTTTCCGTAGTTTATTTTTTTGTCAATTTCCACAACATTTCTACAAAATGTATAAAATGCTAATGATCTTAGCAGATGTTTCAAGCAAACAAAATCTTATTTTCCTCACACCTTTCGATGCATTTCCTCAAGACTCGACTTCCTTCCACTTTTGGAAAACTCGCAACTAGCATGCCAAATTTTTGCAATGTCAACACAAATTTCATGCAGTTCTCAAACACAAAAGTCTGACAAAAAAACGAGGAAGATGAAGAAGAAGTTGGCCATTTAGCCATGTGCGGTCTAAGGATTTCAGGTTCGATCTACCTGTGCTCTAGCTGCGCCACACAATCAACCACACACAATACACACACAAGTTGTGTGTATTTTCTCTAGGTGTATACACTTTTTTTCTTTTCTTTTTTTTTTGGGCGTAGCTGTTGTCAGCAGGCGCAAGAAATCAGGACAAGTCGTACAATAACCACGGGTTGTCCACACCTAAATATATGTATATTGCTCCCAAACTGTGACTGTGACCACACAGAGTGAACTAGTTAAAGGGCCCAGGAGAGAGACACACACACGCAGCTCTCCTCTCCTCTCTCTCTCTGTTTTAATGATATTGTAAAAATCACACCTTAGCAATACATATATATATATATATGTATACACTTGTATATATCGCTCCCAGACAGCCAGTCTGTCCGTTGACAATCAGGGCGGTCCCCTGGTCCCCTGGTCCCTTCTATCGACCCGACCAGGTTATGTCACACGCAGGCTTAGGGCGCATTAAAACCACAGGATGCCGATGCCACAGCGCTAAAGAGTTTTGTGCCCCGCTTTTGTCTGCACTTGTCATAGCACAGGGACAAAAATAATAAGAAAAGTAGAAATCTAATAATAATAATAGTAATATTCTCCATTTGTGAGGGTTATAAATTAACGCATTACTAGCTGTATCTTTTTTTTTTCTTTCTTTGCGACTTTAATTAATAAATATTTTCAAGCATTCCTTTAACAAAACTCGGTGTTTTTTTTTTTTCTCATTTTAGACGCATGTTCCCCACGGTGCGCGTTTCGTTCTCGGGTCCGTTGCGTCAGATTCAGCCGGCGGATCGTTATGCGGTGCTGCTGGACATAATACCGATGGACTCGAAACGCTATCGTTATGCATATCATCGGTCCGCGTGGCTGGTGGCTGGCAAGGCGGATCCAGCGCCTCCGGCTCGCCTCTACTCCCATCCCGACAGCCCCTTCAGCTGCGAGGCGCTGCGCAAACAAGTTATCTCCTTCGAGAAGGTCAAGCTGACTAATAACGAAATGGATAAGAACGGACAGGTGAGTTGCAAAGTTGCAAGCTGAGAAAGGGCAGACAACACATCTCTCCCTCTCTCTCTCTCTCTCTCTGTCTCTCTCCCGCACTGTGGCATTTGAGATTGTAGGCGCGATAGACGAGTGTTAAATGATTGATAATTGTGCGAGAATCGCGAAAGGTTTGCTTAGCAACAGGAGCCCTACAATAAAAGCAAAAAAAACATAAAATTTTTACAAACTTTGATGAATCATCGGCTAAAGATTCTCTATGTATTTTAATAAAAAATATTTTGTTGAGAATAATTTAATTCAATTGAGAATAATTCTAAATTGCGGGAATTTACGCTTCAGTTTTCTATGCCTTAAAATTTGATTTTTAATATATTTCTAAAAACATTTGAATCCATTTATCGTCAAAGAAAAATATGTTAGGACATTTTTGTAACTTTGCTGATTGTTTATTATTTTGTAGCAAAAAGTAATCTATTTTGAATAGTTTATAAAATAATAAATAGATTATAAAAATCAATACATTTTTTAGGGACCTTGCCACATATGTTGTACACATCTAGAATACCCCAACTCTTTCCACACATTCAACTAACATCGCAATTCTCTTTCCTCTTCCTCCCTCTCTCTCTCTCTCTCTCTCTCCGTCCACACCAGATTGTGCTCAATTCGATGCATCGCTATCAGCCAAGGATTCATTTGGTGCGCTTATCGCATGGCCAGAGCATACCGAGCACGCCCAAGGAGCTGCAGGAGCTCGATCACAAGACCTATGTGTTCCCCGAGACGGTGTTCACGGCGGTGACTGCATATCAGAATCAGCTGATAACCAAATTGAAAATCGATTCGAATCCGTTTGCCAAAGGATTTCGCGACTCCTCGCGCCTCACTGACTTTGATCGGGATCCGATGGAGGCGCTGCTGTTGGAACAACAGCTGAGATCTCCGTTGCGTCTGTTCCCGGATCCGTTGATGCAACAGTTTGCGGCACAGCAGGGCGCCGCCGATCCCGCCTCGATGGCGCTCTTCGAGAAGGCGCGCCAACATCTGCAAATGTTTGGCGGCAACTCGCCGTACGCGCAACTAATGATGCCCCAAATGTATCAGGCTGCCGCCCAAGCACCCCATCCACCCCCCGGCCTGGGCGCCTTTCACATGTTCCAGCAGCAATGGCCGCAGCTAACCGCCGGCTTTCTGGCCAGCGCCAATCAGCAGGCGGCAGCCGCCCAAGCTGCCGCTCAGGCGCAAGCGCAAGCTCAGGCAGCTGCGGCTGCTGCGGCTGCAGCAATGGCCGCCAATCGGACACCGCCGCCGCCGCCCACCGCCTCGACGCCGTCGTCGACGACCTCGTCGTCGGGATCACCCTCGCCCGATATGCGACCCCGTCAATATCAGCGCTTCAGCCCGTATCAGCTGCAGGCGCAGTCAGCGCCGCCTTCGCAGCAGCAGCAACAGCAGCAGTCGATTCAGTCCGCAGCGGGTTCGCCCTCAGCGCACGCCTCGCGCAGCCCCGCCCACTAAAGCTGAATGCCGACTCCCCCCAAAACACACACAAAAACAGTATTAATCCAAAAAAAAAAACATATGAAGAAAAAAAGTAAGGCTCGTTTTCTCAATGTCAAAACTCTAAAAAAAAATATTTCCCAAAATTTAAACTCAATTTTGCTTTTGAGAATATTGCCAAAAATTTGAGACTTCAATTTGTCATTGCTAGAAATACTTGCTGCTTGCTTCAAAATATCAAAAGAAAAAAACATTTTATTTATTTCTACTTTTCGTAAATAATTTATTGTTTTTAAATTGCATTTTTCTTCGATTTGTTTAGAAATCCATTGAGAAAACGGGCATAAATGTTGTAAATTATTTGTTATATTTCACACTCTCCTTCTCTCTTCAACTCTATCACTCTCCCTCTCTAACTCGCTCTCTTTTGCATTTTTGTTGTAAAAATTATGAAAATTCTCCAACACATGTACAGTCCCAAAACAAATTTAGCAAATTTTCTGTATATTAGTTAACAAATTGTATTGTAAAAAGTGTTTAAATGTTGTTCGAAAACTCATCTCAGTGTAAAGTTAAAAAACAAACAAACAAACAAAATTTTCAAAAATCAAAAAAAAAAAAAAAAATTATAAAAAATGCTTCATCTTTGTGGACACTAAATGTGAGTTATGCTTAACATAAACATTAAAATAAAAATTATATATTCCTAGTATTAACATAAATTCATAGACGCTTCAGTTAGTTTTATTTATATTATATGAGAATTATAATTTAAGTTTAAGCAACAAAAACAAAAAAGGATAATAATAATATATGTTTCATCAGTGTGAGCAAACAAAAAACAAAACAAAAAATATTTAAAGAAAATTTATTGAAGAAAACAACAACAAAAAACACAACAAAAAAATATAAACACAATAAAAATTTTAAAATGTGAACCAAATCAAAAACGTGGTTTATTTTATGAAAAATATTACTCGGTGTTGAATGACAGATAAAGATTTAATATGGTTTTATATACTTAGAAGTCGAATAAAGTAGAAAAATGTTATACTTTTCTTATATATCACAAATTATGTTGCGGAACAGTAAAAAAGAAAAATAGAAAAAAATGCATTAAATATTATTTATGGAAGAATAAATTAAACATGGCTCGTGGAATATATATTCAAACTATATTGGAATATGTACAAAATAATAATACATTTGACATGGAGCCAGCAAAACATATATTTCCAAACAGAATATATATATCATTCAGATCAGTATTTAAACAGAATATATATTTCATTCAGTTGAGCTAAATGCAACTTGACACATTCCCAGCATTAAAGCAATTCAATTTGCGTTCAGCTGGTAAAAAAACACTTGACTTGCCAACTAGGCAAATATCCTGTGCAACTAAAGTGGGAATTTCTCACACGTCTGCACTTGCTTCGTCACACTACTACACACTTGGCATATATCCTGCAGGGGGATCCTTGCCCCACAAGACACACAGCGTAGCCATAGGCGCAATTCCTGCCTTGCCAGCGACGCGTTGCAAGCAGAACCAATTGGTCGAGAAGAGAGAAGATAACAAACAGCAGCCGTCCAAGGAGGTGTTGGGAGTGGAGGAGATTGGAGTGGAAGGGGGGAAAAACATGTTTAACGAATGCATTTTCATGGTCACTCAAAGTGAAATTCCTATTTCTCATTTCTCGATTGATACGCTGACTGCTGTCTGCCGTCTGCTGACGGAGACTGTTTGAGATAGATCGATGGTTGGTGTCTGCTGTCTCGACTTCTGGTGTGGATAAGCGTAGCCAAATTGTATTGAAAGTCTCTGTTTGGGTTTAAAAGATACTCGGCATAAGTCATCGAATACTTTTGCCTGACTCGCTTCGCGCTGGAACTAATCGAAATGATTGCCTGAACATTTGATAACTATATGCAACATATATATATATATATAAGTATACATACATATAAAGGAAACTACCACCAAAGTGAAGCACACAGCCACAAGACTCCAATTATAAAGAAATTAACTTTTAATGTGCACTGGGATAAAGATCTCAAACAAAGTAAAACACTTTGTCTAATTATTTGGGCAAGTTATTGAAATAAAGGCCAAATTAGCTACATAAATGTATGTCGTAATATATAGACATATGCATATATGACAAGGTGCTATCGACATTTGTCTATCTGGCACCTAGTGCGACCCCGAATTTAGTTTATTTAAGTACTGCCCCCGATATCTAACATCGACGATCTCTTTTTGGCTGTCTCTCAGTTAATTACAAACTAATCACAAAATAAAAAACACAAGCAAACAAACAAAACATTAGGCTATCAGTGATCTTTACAGGAGCTGGTGTAATCAGCAACAACAACAACGGCAGCAGGACAACAGCTTAATAATTCTCTACACTCAGCAAAAAAAATATCGATTATGAGACGAGGACTGCTTTTTGGCATAAATAGTATATTTTTGCATATATATTTGGGAATATATTATATATATTATTAAATATATATATGCTTAGAATACAGCTCGTTAGGCACAGCGTTTTTCTTTGAGTGTAGGCATATGTCAAACTGTCCCGCAGCTAATTTATAAGCAAGGCCGCCAAAGATCCATGTATTTCCAGTGTTAAAACAAACAAGGGAGAGTTGGAGCGAGAAAGAGAGCGAGAGAAGGGGAGCAGCAGACTAATGTTAGCTGAGGGGTGGGGAGGGGAATTGGGGGTGTATAACTTGGTCTGCCTTGGCATAAATTGTTGCTGCTTCCTTTGGGCGTTTCATTTTAATTTGAATGTAAATTGAATGCTGCGACGCAGCACAGCACATGGAAGCGAAGAGCAGCTGTGAATGTGTCTGCAACTTCTTTCCACTCTCTCTCTCCCTCCCTCTCTCTCTCTCTCTCTTTTGGTGGGTACTCCACCCTACCCACTTGTCATGCCCCATCTACATGCACGCCCACAAATCAGCGTTGTCAGGCAGACAGACAGGGAGACAAGCAGCCGAGGTTAAGTGTCAAGGGGCGCCACAAAACAGTGACAAAATATTTAATTTTTGGGGCGTTTGTAAATATTTGTGGCACTTAATTGGCGGGCGGAGTTGCATGATATTCCATTGATTTATATACTCCAATGATATACGATTACAGGGTATATGAATTGAAGCTGAATGATTATGCTAGGCAAAAACCTGAACAAATAAGAAATGCTTAGGTAAATTCACAAGTGATTATATTAAGATATATTTTAAGTGTTTCTATGTAGAATTTAAGCTGTGACTTAAAATTAATTTTCACATTTTAACCAACTTTAAATAAGTGAAATCTAGATTAAATAAGTTCAATATTTTCTTTTATATTTCGCAGACAAACTTTAAATATTTAACAAATATTTGAGCTTTAATAAATTGTCAATATTTCAGCTGGCATTGCTTGCAATAATTTCTTCTTCTTCTCCAATTTCTACAAATTTGTTTTATATAAATTGTTTCCTTATTACACTTTATGCTGCTGCTGCTGCTTTTGTTCTTGTGTTTGTTGAGGCGGATGACATTCAGAAACTGAACTGGGCAATAAACGCGCCGCTGCCACGCCCCATTCATTAACCTGAACATGACCAGGCAAAGAGTGTTTTGGCCCCTAACGGTATCGTTGGCCAGCAATGTGGCAGAAACACTCCAGCACTGCGCCAGCACTTGCAGCATTATGCGGCACGTGCGGCGGCAGCTGCCACGTGAGCCCCATTGGGCAATGAGCGATTCGATGAGTCTCTGCGGGTCTCTTTGCCTCTGCCACTGCCTCTGCCTCTAACCTGTGCCTCTACCATGACGTTGCCCAACACCATGTCAATTGCCACCCTTCCACAGCACTTTACCTCTACTCCGTCCTGCACCCTCTGCCACTGGTCGAGTGAAAATTTGTTGAATTTATAGTTTTTCTTGTTTTAATTCATTTGGCGTTTATTCTTTTTTATTGTAATTAAATGAAATTGCAGAAAAAATTGATAAATTAAAAAGTCGACACTGTCATCATAGGCAAAGTTGCAAGTACACAGTAAACAATTGGATTGGATTGGCTTGGAAGACACAGAGAGGGAGCGAGAGGCAAAGGTAGCTATGATTATCAGTATAATATAAATAAATAGAAAAACTAAATATTGTTTCTATTTCGCTATAATATTTTATTATTTCTTAAATTTTAAATAAAATAAATTTATTTTGAATACATATTTTTAAAACTCAGATAAATTCCTATTTTTACAAAAGATAATTGTAAATTTAGAAACTGATTTTGGTACAAAAATGTCTTATAAATAAAACTAACTGGGATTTTCATAACAACTTTGATTTACTGTGCCAACTATAGATCCAAGGGGTTCGATGGATATATAGCATTATATTCGTTGGGACCTGTCGCCTGGTAATGACTTTATAAACACACACAGCAGACTGAAACATGTCAAAGAAAACTGTCAAGCCGGGCACTGAGTGAGTAGGGGGAATAAATGGCACAGCAGAGTCGAGGAAATCAATTAGATAGATGGACACAGTGGACACTGGACTGATGGCCAGCTCGAGAATGTGTGTGTGTGTGTGTCTGTGTAGATGGGTATAAAAACTCATATATCATTAACAATTTTCATGTCATATTGCATTTACGTGTGACGTCTTGAAGCTCAATCTGTCTCCCCTCGAGCTCCACTCCTCAAGTGCCCACCTTTGGCCCCGCTGCCTGCCTGCCTCGTTTTGTCATTCCTCTTGTCGAATGCCCAATCGAAAGAAAAATTCATTAAATATTCAAATATGTATACAATCATTTTACACACATGCAACAGAAATCAATTTTCTCGAAGGCAAGCACAAAATTGGGCAAAATTGTCGAACCACGCCCCCCCCCCCCCCGCGCAACGCCTCCCCCTCATCGGTGCTTCTGGCCACCTACATAATTATATTTGTGATGTGGAAAATTGATTTTGATATTACAAAGTTTTCGAGGCGTTTTATTGGCCAAAGTCTTTTGCGGCGTGTGAGACCGTTGAGGCTGGCACTGAAAGCTCTTTTGCCGGTCGGAAAAGGGGATTTCAGTTTGTAGCCACTACTCAAAAAGTAAATCCCATTGTGTCCCTTTGCTGAGCATTTAATGCTGCTCTAAATGAGAAACTCTTTTGGTACCCCAAATCCTTGTGGTCAACGTCTGACGAAAATAACACTCGTTTAATTCGTAAATGTGCTGCCTTGTCTGGGCTTGCTGATACCCTGTGCTAAACGTAGATGACTGAAGAAGGTTATGATGGACTTGACAAAACTTAATTTGACTATAGAATGACTTTATCGATCTTAAAAAGACAAATTACTATATAATTTGCAATTTTATAGTATTTGATTTGCAGCAAGATGCTCTCTGACTTATTTTACAGGGTATCCTTGAGTTTGGCACTTGCCCTTAAACTCTTTCTTGTTGTTTGTTTTGTTTGTTTTTACTTTTGGCAATTGATTAAAAGGCTTAGCATTCAAGACAATTGGCTATTTTTGGGGGGCTTGGCTTGGCTGCCACAGCCAGCAGGAATTAGTTGCAAATTACTATCTGCCACATGGGTGTATCCAGTTAAAT